GTTTAACCCTTTCCAGGACAAATCTGTTTGTTTTCCTAGCAGTCCATGGTATTCTCAATACTCTTGTCCAGCACCACAGCTCAAAGGCATACTGAAGCTCATAAATGTAGCTATACTGTCCATTAATCTTGTTGTGGATCTAGTTAGTTCTCCTTCAAAACAAAATCTGAAGTGCACTTTGTTAGGTTATCTGCCTACTTATCAATATACAATCTATAGTCACAGTAGAGATAAATCAAATCTTTTTCCAGATGTGGTTACTATCCTTCAAGACTGAAAAAATTTCTATGAGAAAAATATTAAATATTTGAGTCTACTATCCTTTCTAAATGACCATACTTAGAGATACTTTTTTCTAATTTATGTAAAAATTATGTAAGAGGTTAAGTATCTTAAAACTGATTAAAATGTAGTTGGACTTATTTAAAACATCAAGTGAAACTCTTGCTCTGAATTTAAAAGATAACAATATTCTCAAGTGTTTTACTAGAGATTTTCAAAGTTTATAATTATGCTTATTGAATACTAATTCTACATCCAACACTATAAATCAATTCCTACGCAATTCTCTTCCAACATTTATGAGACACAAAATCATTCAAGATATTTTACAAATTAGATGGAAAGGTTATTCCTGTAGTTGAAAAGATGGTATGTTTTTTAAATTACTCATGTGGTTGTTTTTTCCATTTAACAATTTTGTGAGAGTTAAGTTTACTAGAATAATAGGGGCAAAATTGTATTCATTCACTTTATATAAAAGTTGACACTGAAGGAAAAAAGAACCAAGTTCAGTTCAACCAAAAGATAAAATAAATAGGTGTAAAAGATAGAACAAAAGAAACAAATTAAAAAGACTCAACAAAGAGCTGAAGAAAATAAAGTTATGAAAAATGTGAAGCAGACTAGAAGAGTGATCAAGTTTATGGGCTTCAGAACAGAGAAACTGGCATAAGATATTTCCCTTACTAATGGCATTATTTTAGCCTCATCTTTAAAATGATAAACCACCAATAATACCATTACCTTACAGGGTTGTTGGAGGAAGCAAGCTGATACCTCATGCACTTAGCAAATTGTCTAACACACAATCAGGTACAAAAGTGATAGCCACACATCATCATTGTTGTCACCCTAGCAGGATTCACAAATAAGCCAGGCAAAGGCAAAAGGGAGAATCTACATTTGCTATCCCCAGTAGAAGAATTTAAATAAAAATAGTTCTGCGAAGTGTCATGAAATTCTGTTGGACAAGAACCCAACCGAAAGACTTAAAGAAGTAGCTAGACAAACTACTGAATTTCTTTGAGCCTTCTCCCATTTTTCCCCCTCTCCAAATTAAGGATTTGGGGCTAAATGGTTCAAGGGTCCTTTCTGTGCTATCATCAGATGGGGAAACTGCTTTGGCAAAATCACAGAAAATGCAAGAAGAGATAGGAAAGCCTTTAGAATGGGGCTGTGTTAAATTAGAAAGACCACTGAAAACAGTCACCATTGGACTTTGCCCATCATTACCCTGTCTTTCGCCCAATGCTTCAGCTTTTCTCCGTCCACCCACTGAACTGTGCAACTCTGTGGTTTCACCCCTATCCTCACCCCTCAGCTCCCAGCCCTCCGACCCGCTTGCGTTTCCACACATGTTTTAATAGTTACTTTTCTATTTTTATAATAATGGTCTTATGCAGCTTTTGTCCTTAAGAGACTGCATTAGTTCACTAGGCATAATGTTCCCCAGCCTCTCTGAAGTTGTATAGTATTTACCACAGTGTGAAACAATGGATACAAACTGTACACAAACCAATATAAAATGTTGTTGTTATGTGCTGTTGAGTGACTTGCGACTAGGTGATCCTACATACAACAGCCCTAAACCCTGGTCTATCCTGTGCCAATTGTATAGTCTCTGACACACCTCTCCCCATTACCCCAGTCACTGAGTCAATCCATCTCATCCAGGATCTTCCTCTCCTGCACTGTCCCTTCACCCTCCCAAGCATGATGTCTCTCTCCAAGGACTGAGCCCTCCTTGCAATCTTTTTTTTTTTTTTTAAAGCCACTGAAGTCCAACAGCAACTGCTCCTGAAGGACTGAGGCTGGTTCAGAGACCATTACTCTATCTCTGAATTAACTTGCTTGTCTTCCCAATAGGAAGCTAGTATCACTTTCTGCAGAGTTCCATCTAGACAAATGAAGTGCCTTAAATGTTCATGTTGCCCAGGTTTATTGATGAGCCAAACAGAAACTTCAACTCTCACTGACTGTTTCAAGCAATGTCAGAGAACTCTTGAAGCATGAACAATGAAAATGCCTTCTTCCCCCCACCCCTATGAATTATACAAGAGCTATATCTGCTTATTTAGATTACATCTGTCTCTTTCAAAATGGTAACAGCTTTCATAGTTCTCTCTTGTATGTGCACATTTGCTTGCTTTTTCATTCTCTTTTTAGTAGAGATAGCTCAGCAAGCTTAAAAACTAACAATTGACCCCCCAAAAGGGACCACCTAATTTTAATGAAGACCAGTTATATGGAATCAAGCAAAGCACATGCCTGAAACAACTTGCTACTTAATGAAATCTGGTGGCCTAATAGATAGGGAGTTTCACTGCCAACCCAAAAGCAGGCAATGTGAATTCATGAGCTTCTCTAAGAAAAAAAGATGGCCTTCTGTCCTGCAGTCCCCTGGCTTGGAGTGCCTTCCTTCTCCATGGCAGGACCCCTTCCTGCCGACTTTGCAGTCCAAGAGGTGGAGATGAAGGGCCAGGCTGACCCCTGAGCCTGGCTGAGCTCCCACGGTGTCTCAGGTTGGCCAGGAATTGGACCAGGTGCTGAGTTCTGGGGCATTCCTGCGTGCCCCCCAGCCAAACGATTTCTATGGCGGCATAGCATACTGTGGACCTCAGGTTGGCTTGGGGCCACTGCCCCAAGGTGGCCCTATGACTCCCAATCTGGAGAGCGAGGTGGGGGCTGAGGTGGAGAGCAGCTCTGATGGGGCCTTTCCAGAGCCCAGCTCTGCTCCCCCTTCAGGGAAAGTGGAAAAGGAGAAGTCGGTTGAGATCAAAGACAAGGCCATCAAAACTAAGCAGAAAGATCGGAGCAGTTTGCCAAACTCTTAAGGCAAAAGAGGATCCCCCAGGGGTATTCTCAAGCTGCTGTGAGGTTCACTCTGGGAGTTCTCTTTGGGAAGGTGTTTAGCCACACAACCATCTACAGATCCGTTTCAAGAACACGTGTAAGCTGTAGCCCCTGCTACAGAAGTGGGTGGAGGAGGACAGCAAGGAAAACCTCCAGGAGATAAGGAAAACAGAGACCCTCCTGCAGCAGACCCGAGAGAGAAAGCGGACAAGCATGGAGACCCGAGTGAAAGGCAGCCTGGAGAGCCTGTCCCTGCAGTGTCCCAAACCAATCCTGCAGCAGATCAGCCACATTGCCCAGCAGCTCGGTCTTGAGAAGAAAGTGGTCCAGGTGTGGTTCAGAAACTGGTGTCAGAAGGGCCGACGGGGTGGTGACTACTCCCAAGGAGAGGATTTTGAGCCTGCTGGCTCTCCTTTTCCTCTGGCACCAGGGCCTCATTTTGGTACCCGAGGCTATGGAGGCCCTCACTTTACTGCTCTGTGTTCCCAGGTCCCTTTCCCTGAGGGGAAAGCCTTTCACCCTCCCCAGGTCTCTCCTGTGAGCTCTCCCATGCATTCCAACTGAATGAAATGCCTGACTTTCCCAGGAATGGGTGGCAGAGGAGAGGGGAGAGTTTGGAAATAGCCCTGATATTTGTACCAGGGCTTTTTGGTCTAAGTTCCTCATTCACTAAGGAAGGAAGAAACTGGGGGGAGGGTGTCTGAAAGGGAGTAGGAGATTTGGGGTAACTGGTTGGAGAATAGGTAGAGTTCAGTGATGCTCTTGATAATTAATCCCCACTTCATCTTAACTAAAATAACCCTCACTTTGTTCTTAAATAAAATACTTGGGACTGAGAAAAAAAGAAAAAAGATAGATACTCCCCCCGCCCCATATGATTTACAGCCTCTGAAACCTCACTGGAAGGTTAACTATGAGCCAGTTATAACTTGGCAGCAATGAATTTAATACACTCCTGTCTAAAAAGCATTAATGTTAACATCCTCTTGCAGAAAAAGGAATCATTTCCATTTTTAAAGTATTCAAAAGTTAAAAACCAAATAAGAATATCTGATAGATTAAATCTCAGTAATGATGACTGAGTTTATAACTATGGTGGACTACTGCCCAAGGAATTTCACTGCCACCCCAAAGGCAGGTGGTTCAAATCCACTAACTGCTATTTCCAGGAGAAAATGAACAATCTTCTTCCATGTAACTTACAGCCTCTGAAAATCTACTGTAGAGTCAGTTAAAAGTTGGGTTTGACTTGATAGCACATAACACAAATGGAAGACTATCAGAGACACAAAATTTGCACATTGGCAATCTTATTTAAACTTCTGTAATAATACACTTGAATATTAGTGATAACAAAAGGCACAATGTGAAATTTTGAGAGTTCTTTCCTAGAAGCTAAAACAATAGAGATAAGTGTTACTTCATGGATGCTCACCTGCATAATGGAGTGTGACCACAAAGAGCTGTGACATTTGGGGAGCCAAACAATAGATCAACTTGGACTTCAGAACCTGAGATTAGGATCTACAGATTTCCACTCAAATCTGCTTTCAAAAAATCTCCAGGAGCCAGAGTCAAAAAAGTATTGGATATCACCAGTCCATGTTCTTCTCATCTTAAACGTTGTTTCTTTTGAATGAAACCAACTCCCTCTGTCTCCTACTTATCCCAACTATCTGCATGTTCTTGGGCAATATGAAGCTTTTCTGTCTCTCAAAGGTTCTCACCTGTCAAATAGAACCAATTAAAAAAAACCTTTCCCCTAGAGCTTTTGTGAGATTTGGTGTTATGATATGCTTAACAGTCTTTACACAGTGCTAAGTAACATGTGAGTAGAAAATAACTGGTCTACAGCAGCATTTTATCTAACTCCCTTTCCCTTTCCCGCCTCTGCTCTCTCTCTTTCTGCCCTCCTTTCTCTCTCCCTTTACCTCCTCCTCTCTCTCTCCCTCTCCCTCCTCCTCTCCCTCTCCCTCCTCCTCTCCCTCTCCCTGTACTCTCCCTCTTCTCCCTCCACCTCTCCCTCTTCTCCTTCCACCTCTCCCTCCTCCTCTCTCTTTCTCCCTCTCCCTCCTCCTCTTCTTCTCCCTCTACCTTTCTCTCATTTTCTCTCTCTCCCTCTCTTCTCCTCTCCTCTCCTCTCTTCTCTTCTCCTCTCTTCTCTTCTCCTCTTCTCTTTCTCTCTCTCCTCCCCCTCCATAAGTGTGTGTTACACACACTGTGGGATACTGTAATGTGCTGCATATACACGACAGAAAGATTTGGGCATAATTTGCCTTGCATGGGAAATGCCGTTTTTAGCTAATCCATCACCATGTTTTGACCAAGCCCAGTACTGTTTTGCTAAATAAGTATTATGTAAGTAAGACTAAGCGCAGGTGCATAGTGTCATAGGTGAGTGATTAGTGTAGAAAAGTGGTAGAGGACACCTTTGTCTTTAGCACTATAAAAACTGTGTGGAAGATTCTCGCCTTGGCTCACATTTTCTCACAGTCTGTGTGATCTGAAATTTTAAAAGTGATGTCTCAGCTTCCTACCACTCTTTGTGCTTTTTTTCACTTTGGCCACTGAACCTGAATGTTCAGCTGTGGTTGAGTAACTCAGATATAATACACATACAGATATAAGCAGCAACCAAGAAACTAAATATGACATATTGCACTAAATATGACATAGTACTATATGTATATGGGTATATACATTTATGTGTGTGTATTTGTTGTTGTTGTTATGTGCCATTGAGTTGCCTGTGACCCATAGCAACCCTATGTACAACAGCCCTAAACTCTGCTCTATCCCAATCAAATCTCACTGTCTCTGACACATCTACCCCAATTACCCCATTCACTGAATCAATACACCTCATAGAGGGTCTTCCTTTCCTGCACTGTCCCTCT